AACCCCAGGCGGCTACATGGGGGTCCCGCGACAGAGCCATTACGCCATCCGCTGGTTCCTGTTGTGTTTTTTTTTTTAATTATTTATTTTACTTAACCCCATTTGTTCTTATTTTTTAATTTGACCAGACAGAGAGAGAAAGGGAAAGCGAGAAAGCAAGCCACTAGGTATGGGACTCGAACCGTTGTTGGCCATGTGGGAATCCAGCGCCCTTAAACACCATGCCACCTGCCAGCCCTGGTGTGGGTTTTTATTGCCAGAGGGTACATGTGCTTGCAGAGAGAAAGAGAAAGCACCCCCCAGTGGAGCGCGTTCACACCACCATCCCTTTATCCTCTGTTTGTCTTTTCTGTTTGAGAGAGGTTTTCGCTATAGGGTGCATGCACTCGCCAGACAGACAGACAGAGATATAGAGACAGAAAGCGAGAAATCAACCCCCAGGGGGGATGGTCACGCCGCAATCCCTTCTCCTCCATTCTCTTCTCTGGATCTTGGGCACGCACGCACCTGTGACCGGCGTGAGTTCTAAGCCACCGGGTCCGGGACGTGAACCGCAGTTGACTACGTGGGAGTCCAGCGACATAGCCATTACACTAACTGCTGGTTCCCATCATTCTCTTTCTTACTTTCTGAATCAAGTTCACCTGTTTGTGCTTTTAGACTGTTTGCAATTTTTCTCTATTATATATACTCCTTCAATGGACAGAAGCTAAAAAGTTTCAAATTTCTACAATTATTTCACGAAGACATTATTGAAACTGGAATCATATTCATAAATGTTACATGAAATTCTGACATATTTTATTTATCAATTTACCCTACAGTAAAACTACCATTTTTATTTCTACAATCATTGCTTAAATGTAGAAGGATTATCGATCTGAATTGTTCTTTTAATAGTATTTTATTTTTATTTGTGAATTGAATAGGAGAAAATAGTATCACTGATATTCTTACTTCCTATTTTATAATTTATTATTTACATTCTATTGTACAGCTCTGTGAAGTAAAGTATGGTTTTTCAAAACATGTATGCATGTCTATTTTTTTCAGTGGATTGACCATTTCTTTGAGTAACTGGATGCACAAAAAAATGAAATACATCAAATTATTTTGAAGAGTAAGTTTATTCCAAACACAAAGAGTTAAATAAAAGATGCTGTTGCATTATAGCTAGTTAGTGGAACACGGGCCTTGGACTTGCTGACCCTGCTTCACACGCTTCTCTTTCTGGTTCATCTTTGTAAACAAATGTGCTCTGTCAGAGAGAGACGTGGGTGTCCTAGATTGTAGAGTGGATGCTTAGATTTGTTGTTGGATCTATTCTACTAGGCCATTTGTAAGATGAAGATAAAGCTTCTCCTATGAGCTCATCAATGCTTATGTGTTTGCTGTGTAGGCAAGAGCAAGAAGTTGGAGGAAAAAATTGTGCAGCAACAAATAATATACTGCACTTGGAAAATGCTTGTTTGGCCTTATTAACAAAGATAAATCTATAAAAAAAATCATTTGGCTGATTTAGTTGGTTGGGGAATTCATTTGTTCCCAGAGAAGTTACATTAGGATTCTATCCAGCTCCTCATAATGTATCCAGATGCAAGAAATTTAATTTATGTTTTAAATATAGTAAATGTTCTGGATTAAGGACTGAGTGCCTGCCAAATTTTAGGCTCAGCTGTTTTATTTTTTTTTTTGCCTGAGATACAAAAAAAAAGTCTTGAACTATATAAAATCAAGTTATTTACTTCCTAATTTTTTTGAATTTGCTGATTATATCAAAATGTGAAGACATCTTGCCAGGCTGAGTGCCTATATACTAGGACGGAGCCTGAGGGATTTGTTTCAAAAAATCAATTTTTATGGGATTGAAACTTGACTACACACACTGCTATTTGCATTTAACTTAGCTTTGTGTAATGTCTTGGCAAAGAGCTTGTTCTTTTAATTTGCTGATTGTTTTGAATGTTAATAGTGATAAGTTTAAGACTACACTATAGCTGTTAAGTGCTATGTTGTCATTCCCCATGCTCAAAATATGTTGTTTCTTAACTACATCTGTCTGCTATAACTCACATAGCAGCTAGAGATGCTTGGACTCATACTCATTGAAAAATAAATAAATTAAATTAAAGATAGTGATAAGTTTATTATATAAAAAAATCAGGATATCTGACAAATGTTGGAGAAAATTAAAGTCATGTTTTCCGTTCTGCTAAGTTATACAAATGGTTAATCACTTTCAATAAAGCAAATTCAGTATAGATATTTCCTATGAAGTCAATTGTCCATTATCCATTTTCTTTGTTCTTTGCTTCTATTTGTTCTTTAAATGTTTCTATAGGAATATATACATATTATTTTTTGGAGAGATTTTTGCTATAGGGCACATGCACTTGACAGAGAGGCAGAGGGACAGAAAGTGAAACATCACCCCCATGGGGAATGATCATGAAACAGCCCCTTCTCTTCCATTCTCCTCTAGGGATCTCGGGCTTGCACACACATGCAGCTGGCATGAATTTCAAGTCACCAGGTCCAGGACTCAAACCGCAGTTGCCTGTGTGGGAGTCTAGCAATGTAACTGCTATGCCATCTGCTGGCCCCAGAAATATAAATTTTAAGGCTTTAGGTTTTAATGATTATTTGACTACCCTTTTCCCAGGTAGATTGGGGCTAAAGTTAGATAGGAGTGAAGTTTTTGAATATCCCCTAATTCTTTAGGATGAGATATAAGACTCATTACTGAGAAAAAGCGTAGTTTGTTTCTTTTTTCTTTTCTGCTTTTCAAAGCTCCTTAAATTAATGAGAAACAAATTGAGAAAAAGCAATAAAACATAGTTATAAAAAAGAGCAGCTCCACTAAGATTGTCTCTTAATCCACAAAGCAAAGATGAAAATAGAAGACAATGGTTAGAATAATGCCAGAAAATGAAACGCAGACATTGAATAGAATAATCCAACAAGAGGAACGGTTAAAATAATCCTGTAATGATCAGTAGTTAGCATTTATTTTATTACATGTAAAATTTAAAAGGAAGTAAGGAGTAAATTTTCAAAAAAAGCAAGAAATTTTTGCTATTCATTTTTTAAAGTCTATATTATTAAAATATTTTTGACATGTGATATGAATAAACCTTACCGAAGAAGTTTATGAAGTAACACAAAAGATACTCTAAGGATATTTACTACAAGGGAGGTGGTCTTTACATTTTTCTTCATTTGTACTTCATTTTTCATTTGGAACATAGTCAGTACCTTTTTATTTATTTGACTTTATTTTTTATTTTTAAAGATTTTTTTCTGTTGTATTGTTACTATTATAATTTTTTGAAAGAGTTTTTTGATATAGGGTGTGTGCAATCACTGATGAGACAGAGAAAAAAAATGAAGAGACAGAAAGAGAGAAATCACCCCCAGGGAGAATGCGCACTGCAACGCCTTCTCCTCCATTCTCTTCTTGGAATTTTGGGCATGCACACACACACACACACATACACATACACATACACATCTAGTATGAGTTTTAAGCCACTGGGTCTGGGACTCAAACATGGGAATTCAGCACAGTAACCATTTCTCCATCTACTGGTCCTCCCAGCTGTGTTGTTATAATTGGTAATTTTTTTTAATTTTTTTGGAGAGGTTTTTGCTATAGGGCCCATGTGCTCGCTCACCAGAAAGACAGAGAGAAACAGAGAGAGAGCAAGTGAGAAATCACTCCCCAGGAGGGATGGCCACGTCACAATCTCTTCTCCTTCATTCTGCTCCCAGAATCTTAGGCGTGCGCACATGTATCCGGCGTGAGTTTAAGTCACCAGCTCTAGGACTAGAACCTCAGTCGACTACATGGAAGTCCAGCGACATAGCCATACTGACCAGCAAGTGCTGGTCCCATAATTGACAAAATTGTGCATATTCAAGATGTTTCAACGTGATGAGTTTATATATGTATATATTGTTAGATGATTAGCTCAAATTAATAAATATGTTCTTCACTACACTTAGTTGTATTTTATATGTGCATATGGTGAAGTCACTTAAGATCTATTTCTGGGAAAATTTCAAATAAACAATGACATTATTAACAATAGTCACCATGGACCTTTGCACATCGATCAAGAAAATTTAAATTGGTATAATTATTATGAAGTAGTTGCTTTTACTTCTGAGCTAGACTTTCATAGATAAAGGTTCGTCTGGTCACAGCATGTTGTTGAGACCAGAAACTCATGACTGAGAAAAATTAACACAATGGAATTGCTTTGGGTATGCTAGCTAGGCAGCGAATGTTATATTTTTAAAATTGTAACTCTTCAATCATAATTTATCACAGACCTACATGGAAATATGCTTGAATGTTAACACTAGTGGACTAGTGAGTGACAAAGCACATCATGTTAAGGAAAACATGAATAATCTGTAGAATCATGTTTTTTTTTTTTTCACTAACTTTGCTTGAGGAAGAACACAGAAATTTGGGCTAAAAATAAGATATATGTGTAATTGAAAAGGTTCCTCATTTTCTTTTAGAGAATTAGAGTTCTTAGCTAGGAAAGGTAGAATCATAAATGTATTTTGAAATAATGAGGTGATATTTATTGTGTGTTTTATGAAAATTAATAAAAGATGATTAGTGATAAAATTGAATAGTTATGACACAGAAAAAGAGAGGAAAGATTTAAAAAGGAAAGTTTTTTGGCTTGAAAAAGTGTTGTACAGAGAAACCATATGCTACTAACTTATAAAAAATAGAGAAAGTTAACTTGGGAATTGACACATGTATATGTTTAAGAGAGAATTCACAAAAGAAAACTATATCCGTTTATACGGACTGAATTTAATAAGTCATAAGACTGATGTGATATTTAAGAAATAAATATGTAGACATGTCCAAAGGACAGTTTAATTTTATAGTTATTGAAAGGGAGATTAAATACTTATTTTCCAACTACTACATAAGGGCTACTTGTACCAGACAATGTGACGTCCTATGTTCTCCATTTTAATGACAGAAACTTACAATCTTAAATAAAGTTGCACAGGTGATATTATAAAGATAAACTTACATTTGGACTCTATGATTTCATGAAATGAAACTGATATTATCACCAGTCATCTCTATAAGAGCAAATTCTAGGGTATTAGTGTATTACTAAATGTTATTTCTTGTCAGTAGATCAAGTACTAGAGCCAATTGTGTTTGCTACCTTTACCTATATTTAAAACCCTTATCTCCTTTCCTCCCCATTTATATAAGAAGTCCACAAATACTCTGGCTAGAATTACTAAAGAATGTAGCCAGTTGGTGGTCAGTTGTTGGCATAGGAGCAATGCAGCTGTTTAAAGGTCTCAGGTTCACATGCTGAGACTTCCCTGTGCACACCAGGCATGCAAGTGCATAGTCATGATCCAGGTTAATGGAAGCTGGGATGGATGTCATGTGAGGACCCTTTTGGGGATGCCTGTCTTTCTCTCTCTGAAGAAATAAATAAATATAAAAAATAAAATAAAAATAAAAATAAAATAAATAAATAAACTTTAGAAAAAGTTTGGGGGTAGAGGCAGGGCTGTCATTGGGACAAAAACATCCTTCTACCTGTACCAGCCATCTTCAACTCAAGGAGAAAGTAAGCTACCAGAAGGTAGGAGAGAAGTGTGGAACTGTACCTCATTTCCACCCTTGTAAGACACTAAGCTGGGCCAACACTTCGATTTCAGACTTCTAGCCTCCAGACCCTGGAGACAATAACTAGCTATTGTTTAAGCCACTCAGTTTATGGTGTTTTGTTATGGCAGTTTACAGAAGCTAGTACGTGTGGTCAAGCACAAAGTGAAGGCACAAGTATAATTTACCATAGAAGTATGAAAATATGGGGGAATGAAGTGTTAAGGCTAATAACGTAATCTAATATGTTCCAAAAGATAAATTTATTTAGATCTTATCACCTACTGTCCTGTTGATCCAAAACAAAGTGGGAAATGAAAAATCCACCCTAGGAGCCAACAGGTGCTTATGGTGCTGAACTTCCACACTGCTGACCACAGTTCAAGACGGGGACCTGGTGCTTTCTCTCCCTCTCTATCTTTCTCTCTGTCTCTCTCTGGTGAGCTCACATGCCCTACAGAAAATTAATAATAATAATAATAATAAGTAAAATTAAATAAATAATTCTTAAAAGATAGAAAGATGTACCTCGAGTCCTTCATGTCTGAGAAATATCAGCATCATGATCTATAGAAAAGAGGGTTTTTATATTTTTTTTGTTCAGTTTCATAAATAGCAACATTTTTAAAAGAATTATTTTATTTGACTTTATTTATTTATTTATCTTAATTTGACCACAGAGGGACAGAGTGAGAGCAAGAGTGAGAGAGAAAGTGAGAAAGTCCGGGACTCAATCCACGGTCAGCCATGTGGGAGTCCAGAACCCACCTACAGGCCCCAGTAAATAGCAACACTTAAAATATAGTAAATCATTTCTTTAAGTATAGGAACCATTATCTTCAACTATGCTTAGCTTTATGTGAGAGAGAGGGAAGAAAAAAGAAAGTGAATAACTCAGATGAGGACTTTTCCATTTCATTTATATGTGGAGCTAGAATGATTTAAAAGTTTCAGCAATATGTTTCTTTTTGGAGAGGTTTTCACTATAGGGCACGTGTGCTCGCCAGACAGAGAGAGGCAGAGAGACAGAAAGCGAGAAATCACCCCCCAGGGGGGATGGTCATGCCGCAATCCCTTCTCCTCCATTCTCCTCTTGGGATCTTGGGCACGCACACACACACCCGGAGTGAGTTTTAAGCCACCGGGTCTGGAGGATGAACCGCGGTCGACTACGTGGGAGTCCAGCGATATAGCCATTATGCTAACTGCTGGTTCCCAACATTTTTAAAAATAGTTCTCTAAATGAATAGCATGTACAGAGGGCAAACAGAACTCATGAGTTCAATAAAAGTGAAAATCTCTTAAAAACTTGCTATAACACAACTTATTATGGATGTTACAAAAATTTCCCTAAGAAATGCCCTTCAACTTACATTACCATTTTGTCATTTATTCAATATTTATTGATTTTCTTTGTAAGCAAATTATACAATACATAA